GCCACTGCCTTGTGGGTCAGCCTATTGAGCGAAAGGCTCCGGGTGGAGTCCCTCAAGCAAACCTCCAAACCACCCACTGCCTTGTGGGTCAGGCTATTGAGCCAAAGGCTCCGCGTGCAGCACCTCAAGCAAACCTCCGAAGCACAACGACCACCTCGCTTGCGATTGCCCACCAATGCAATCGTATGCTTGCGCGCAAAGCACTCAGCATCGGGTGCTGGAACGTGCGCACACCACTGGACCGGAACTCCAGCGGGCGCCCGGAGCGACTCACTGCACTGGTCGCAATGGAGCTGGCGCGCTACCACATCGATATTGCGGCGCTCAGTGAAACTCGGCTCGCTGAGCAAGGTAAGTTGCATGAAGCAGGTGCTGGCTACACATTCTACTGGGTGGGCAACGCCGCCTCAACACCACGTGAACATGGGGTCGGATTTGCGATATCCGATCGCCTCCATGGCCAGCTGGTGGGTGAACCAACGGGCATCAGCGCGCGACTGATGACTGTTCGCCTACGACTTGGAAAAGGTAAGTTTGCTACTTTTATAAACACGTACGGTCCGACCATGTGTTATCCTGATGACACGCGTGATCAATCATACACTCAGCTATCCTCCGTGATACGGCCTGTGCCGAGGAGCGACCAACTACTTCTGCTGGGTGATTTCAACGCGCGCGTTGGGCGTGATGCATCGGTGTGGACAGATGTTATCGGTTCGCATGGCATTGGCTCAGCGAATGCGAACGGTGACAGGCTGCGCTCACTCTGTACCACTCACGGCCTGACGATCCCGAACACTCGGTTTGCACTGAGTGCGAATGATATAGCAACCTGGACGCACCCACGGAGTGGTTACGCTCACCTGCTCGACTATGTCATCGTACGTCAGCGTGATATGCGTGAAGTGCGCATGACACGTGTACTGCGTGGAGCTGAGTGTGGCACTGATCACAAGTTGGTGCGGACCAAACTGTACATATATTTTCGTAAATCAATGTATTGCACTCCCGCCGTGAATCGGCGTAAATCTAACATTCTCTCCCTTGGTACTGTGGCGAAACGTACTGAGCTGGAGAAGGCGATGGCTGTGCGCCTGTGTGATGTGAAAGGCTTAGCCACAGTGGGCGACCTATGGCACCACATTCGCGACCAGGTGACAGCTGCTGCCGAGGAGACCATCGGGCGCGCAAACTGTAAGCGGCCTGATTGGTTTGATGACAACAATGTGACGATTGGCACATTGGTGTCAGAGAAGAATGCAGCATTTGCTGCACATGTGTCAGACCCCAGTGACTTGGGGAAGAGTAGTCAGTTTCGCAAACTTCGACGGCGACTGACCCGAGAGCTCCGTCGCATTAAAAATGCATAGTGGACGGAGAAGGCGAAGCAGATGGAATGGTACGCCGAAGGCCGCCAACACAAGGAATTCTTTGACTCGTTGAAGGCGGTGTATGGACCGAGATTGGAGCCGCTGAGGACACTGATCGATGGTAGTTCAGGCGCTACCTGCACCCAGACTGCAGACGTAATGGAGGTCTGTCGGAAACACTTTGACTATCTCTTGAACAACCGTTCAGAGATCGACTGGCCTACATTGAACGGCCTGAAGCAGCACGATGTGAAGGCGGATCTGGCGGATACGCCGACACTGGATGAGGTGCAGAGAGCACTTGCTCAGCTGCGAAACGGCAAATGTGCCGGGGGTGACGGGATCCCATCTGAAGTATTGAAACACGGTGGACCCGCGTTGTTGACTGCGCTGCACCACTTGGTGCAACGCGTATGGATTGAGGATGAGGTGCCTGCTGAGCTGAAGGATGCCCTTGTGCTACCACTGTACAAGGGCAAAGGGAGCAAGCAATGTTGCACGAATTATCGTGGCATCAACTTGCTGAGTTGTGTGGGCAAGGTGATTGCCCGAATCCTGCTCAATCGCCTCGTGAGTCAGATTGTGGAACCAAACGTGGCGGAAGAGCAATGTGGATTCCGGTCGGGTCGCAGCACTATAGATATGGTGTTTGCGGCTCGTCAGTTGCAAGAGAAGTGCAGAGAACGACACCAGCCTTTGTACTCGCTTTTTGTTGATTTCACCAAGGCATTTGATACGGTGAACCGCGAGGCATTGTGGCTGGTGTTGGGTAAGTTTGGTTGCCCGCGTAAGTTTGTAAGTTTAATGGAATGTCTGCACAGTGGTATGCGAGCGAGGGTGCAGCTGAGTGGAGAGACCTCGGATGACTTTGCAGTCGTCTCTGGTGTGAAGCAAGGCTGTGTCTTAGCTCCTGTCCTGTTTAATATATATCTTCATGCAATGTTGTCTTGTGCTTTTGATGCGGCTTGTGCTTACGGTGTTCGTGTGGAGCACCGTATTGATGGTGGGTTGCTGAACATCCGTCGTTTCGGTGCGAGAACTCTAGTCTGTGAGACAACTATCCGTATGTTACTGTTCGCTGACGACTGTGCGTTGTTTTCACACAGCGCGGATGAGTTGCAGTACATGACTAGTGCTCTGGCTTCGACAGCGGCCAAATTCGGGCTCACCATCAACACAACAAAACGGTGTGTCTCTTTCAGCCTTCACCGGAGGTGCAATCTTCAACATTGCCGCAAATCAGCATTGGTGCTGAAGTATTGGAAACCACTTCCCGTTTCAGCTGCCTTGGGAATGTGATGTCGACTGATCAGCAGCTACACGAGTTGCGTAATCGCGTGTCGAAGGCTGCAGCGGCATTCGGGAAGTTTGAGTACCGAGTGTGGAACAACCATCACCAGCAACCACCATTGGCACGAAGCTGATGGTGTACAAATCCATGGTACTGTCCGTTCTTCTATACGGCAGTGAAACGTAGACGATGTACCGGCGGGATGTGCGATATCTCGAGCGGTTCCATCACCAGTGTCTGCGACGAATTTTGCGGATCGGTTGGGGCGACAGAGTTGAAGACACGGAAGTGTTGCGCAGAAGTGGGATGTATGCAGTGGACTGCATACTTTTACTGCGACACCTGAGATGGCTCGGTCATGTGAGCCGTATGGGTTCGACGCGAATACCGAAACAAGTTTTATACGGTCAGCTGAGTATAGGGAAGCGGCATGCTGGGAAACCAAAGTTACGTTACCATGACATGATTAAAGTGAGCCTCACACGTTCTAATCTTGATTGCAGATCATGGGAATCGAAGGCGGTTGATCGTGGTGCATGGCGCGATTTAATCACGAAGGCAGTTGCTGAAGTGCGGGAGAAAGCCCTCATGCATGCAGAGAAGAAGCGGCAAGTGCGGAAGCGGCAAGCACCGATGAATTGTACTCCATCGACATCGAGTGCATTGTGCTGTAGAACATGCGGTCGCGAGTGCCTTAGTCAGGCAGGCTTAGTGAGCCATGAGAGAGGTCACTCGGGACTACTGCCGAAGCGACGACGGGTCCTGCAGTGAACGTAGGCAGCACCGGCGCAGCGTTTGTAGGCACGCTGAATTCGATTTACTAACCGCGTGCTTGCATGTTAAGTCTCTTTATTTCAGGTGGTGGGTTTTTGGTTCTGTCTTAATGCCTTTCTTTCTCATATAAATGTCTAGTTGGCCATGAGCTAGGCCCTTTGGGACCACTACAGAAGCGACGACGGATCCTGCAGAGAATTACGGCGAGCCGGCGCAGCGTTTGTAGGCACGCTGAATTCGATTTACTAACCGCGTGCTTGCATGCTAAGTCTCTTTATTTCAGGTGTTGGGTTTACAGTCTTTACCCTAATGCTTTTTTTCACATATAAATATCTCCCTGTACTCTATTCCATTAACTTGCACACCTCGCCTAAGCCAGTTGTATTCGATTTCCATAACATTTTTGTGTTCGTGGCATTCCGTGAACTATACTTTCTGACCTCGTGCACTTAGCTAAGATTTGTTTGTAAACAACTTATTACATATGCTATTTAATTACGGTTTATGTCACCGTTTCCTTATGCATTAATCGAGGGACTTCAAGTAGGCCTGCGTGCTAAGTCTGTATATCGTCTTGGAAGAAGACGTACGATATCTCATTCCAAGTGTATTCTAATTGGGTTTGCCTGCTGAGCATGTTTGTCGCCTTGGGCGGCTACTGATTTTTCTTTTCTAGAATGTTCTAAATTGGCCTGCATGCTAAGCCTGGATATCGTCTTGCGCAGCAGTCGAAATTTTAGTCCAAGAGAATTCTTAATTGGCCAGCGTTCTAAGCCTGTATATCGTCATTGGTAGCAACCGGTATTTCTTTTCTAGAGAATTCCAAATGGACATGTGCGCTGAGATTGTCTATCGCCTTGGATGGAAACAGATATTTCATTCGAAGAAATTTCATAATTGGCCTATGTGTTGAAACTGTGTATCCTCTTGAGTGGCAACTTAGCTCTCCTTTAAAGGGAAT